GTAAGACACAGTACTAATAGTTAAACAATTAGCAATTGTTTAGTGAATACAAGCCTTAGTAATAAGGTAATACCTTATTGCTGGGTATCCATAAACTTGGTGCAGAATGCTATTAAGTGGCCAGGAAATATATATTTTTTTAAATCAAATCCAGAGTGTCTGAAAATCCCCTGACCTATAATATCTCTATATGCAGTTATGGTGGAAATCCTCACATAGGTTCAAAGCACGGGTTTAGAAGTGTTAAACTGCTTCTGACCAGTTATTTCTCCAATAACTGGTCCAATATCACACGGCCCAGAGGCCAACAACCATTTTTTAGTTAGGGGGAGATGTCACTACATGGAACGGCAGCTTTCCACTGAAATGTTATGTTAAGTTAAAGAGTTACTCCACCTCCATAACCTTAGTATGTACTGTTAATCACAATGGGAGGTCAGTGAGAGGCTAAGTGCACCAATCACACCAACTAATACTTTCATTTCATCACAGTTGCTGGGGACACGTCAAATGATGCAGTGTGATAGGTGCCCAGGATCTTAAACAGTTTGACACCAAGGTAACGGTCCTTAAAAACATTTTGCCAGAAAAAACAAAAATAATTTTTAGGGGAGCCAAAAATTTGAGAAATACCCTGGTACAAAGCAGTAATAAAGAAACAATAACAACAACAAAAAAATCTTCACAATGAATAAAGGCTTTTACGGAAGTGGGCAATGCCTAGCATGTAAAAATACTAAGAGTAAAAAAAAGGCATATAACAGATCTAGAACCATTCATAAATCAAAAATTCTTAATAAAAGAATATTTAACTTGCCATTCTAAAGGAGTAATCTATGTTTTAAAATGTCCGTGCAACCTCCTATATGTAGGTCGTACAATTCGAAACTTTAACACTAGGGTGGCAGAACATTTAAGAAACCTAAAAAATGGGGTTGAATCACATAGTGTTTCTAATCATTTCAGAACCACACATCAAAAAAACCCTGAAGGAATGTTCTTTAGTGCTGTAAAACTCATAAGAAAAGATTGGAGAGGAGGAGACTACATTAAAAAAATAGGAAAGGAGGAAATGAAATTTATATTCAATTTTAATACCATGACACCATATGGGTTAAATAACGATTTTGAACTGTGTCATTTTATGAATTAATATTTTTTTCTGTTTTTATTAGGTTTTATATATTGTACATGTAAATTACTTGAAAATATTTCTTTAAAATTATGTACATACTCTTTTAAATAGTTATAAATTAACATCTCTTTCTGTTTTTATTTTGTCTTATATATTGCACATTTACATTACTTGAGAAAAGAGATTTTGAAATTGTGCATATACCCCTTTAAATTTGAGTCCCTCTATAAAGGTTACACATTATCATATTACACTTTTACAGGATATAATACTGCATTAACATTTTATTATTATTTTGATATATGGTCAAATAAATATTTCTCTTAAGACACTAATACACATCTCTTTAAATATTTAGAGGTTGTAATAATTTTAACCTCTTTTATAATCTATGATACATATATGAAATAATAAGAATTTTTAAACTATACTTATATACATCATATCCCCCTAAGGTGAATAACATTATTTATGACAATTCCCTCCAAATATGGAGTTATATTATAAATTGGCCGTGTTACATTAAAGCGTAATACTATTTTGGGAAGCAGAAATGAGGAGAACGAATGGTGGAACGCATGTTGCGTTTCAACAAGGCGCAACCTGGAAGTGATGATCGGCGCTGGAACGCACATTGCGTTCCAACAAGACGCAACCCGGAAGTGACGAATACAATCAACGAAACCGGCAAGTGGGCTATTTAAAACAGCAACAGCAACAGATGGGATACACCACAGCCAACTGAGGAAGCCTTTTAATCAGGCAAAACGCGTTTTGGACTTGGACTTTGATACACTGTCTTGGACCATTGAGCCTATCCAGAAATATCTGGTATTAACATATTAATTTTTAAACTCTGCTTTTATTTATTTTATTTTATTTTTTGGAGAAATAAAATCACTTTGAAAGGATCCCTTTCGCATCTGGCATTTCTGTATTTGGGAACCAGTCAAGAGAGACAAGAAATACAGCTAAGAACGCTGGGAAGAAGGGTTTGGACAACCCCCAAATGGTCCAGAGGATTATACCACTTGAGTCAGGGATCCTGCCACTGCATTGCAGAAAGCCATCGAAAAGTTAGAAATGCTGAACAGAATAGCAATTCACACATCACAGCTCACTGGTAATAAAACAGTAGCTGATTCAATTGTTGTTTACTTTTATTCTGTAAAAATCACTTTACACTGTTTTCAGTTAAAGAAAACGTAATATTTAATATGTTCTTTCATTTGAATGACCTATAATATTTTTCAGAATTTGATGACAAGAAATGTTATGCGTTCTCACAACACTGTGTTTCCAACACAGCGCTCAGGCGTTGAAAGATAGAAGCAGCTGCACTTATAAATGAAAACCGAGAGAACAAATAAAGCTTGTGTCTGCCTTGGATAAGGTGTCAGTGAAACTGGAGTATTTTTAGGATCAAGTGTGAAGAACAGCAAAACACTAGCTTTACATTACTGTATTTTGACATGAATCTATAACTTTTTGAAATTCACTTAAATCAACCCTTTTACCTCAAATTGAATTGGACATTTTCTGATCTCTTTTTCATTTTCATTTCTTGCCTTGAATGTTTTTTTCATTTTATACATAGACCTCGATTTAATATTTTGTGTAAGCTTTTTAAATAATTTTATATTTTGAAAAATGCTTTAATATATTTTTATACATAATATATTTTAATATATTTTACATTATTGTTAAATATATTACCCATTTTTAAACTCCGTTTTGGTTTTAAATTGCTCTACTTGAGTGACAGTTGCAATACAAGCAAAGTTTGTGTAATAAATCATAGAGCCCTGTCCAGTGAGATAAACTTTCCAGATATTGGGGGGCAGAGCTAGCCATGGAATGAAGGAGACACACGTGCCGGGAGCTCTCAAGAGAGATTGTAAAAAAAAAAAGAAAAAAAAAAAAAAAGTATTTTATACTTACCTAAAAGCTGCCTGACAATATGGGAAAGAAAACCAAGCTCTGCAGGAGTGATATAGCCTCATCATCCAGAGATATTCCGGCCCTGCTCCAAGTTATTCCACTGCAGTGGCCTTCCAAGGTGGCGCCCACGTGGGAAGATTCTGACCTTGCCTCAGAGAAGAGCGAACAGGACGACTCAGTATACTGCCATACAAGGAGACCCTAGCAAAACCCTGGTACCTGCAGACTGGGGACAGAAGTCCAGGAGACCGAACCTTGATTCTTGCCCAGACCTTATACCTGCCAGCAAAGCTGACATACAAAACATGCTGGCCACGGTGAAGGTCTTATTCGCAGCTGATATTGCGCTGGTTAGGGAGGATATAGGGATTATGACAGCATGGCTGAGGGCGCTGGTAGATGATGGTGACACTGCCAGTGGCAAGCAGGATGACCTGAAAGCTGAGGTAGGCAAATTGAAGCAGGTTAACCTCAATATGGAAAGCAGATTAGCTGTCTTGGAGGACTTTAGGCAGCAACGAAACATGCGTCATTGTGCTGTCCCTGAAGACGTCGTTGATACTGAAATACCACACTAACTTCACAGGCTGCTTAGTTCTATGCTTCCTTCAGCCAAGTCCAAAGCCATACCTGGAATACAACTATTGGGTCCTAAAATCACCTAAAGCCCTGTCCGGGGTCCTGAGTTTCCAGTCACTATAGAGTACTTCAAGTGCCTCATGCCGTTAATTATTATGTTCACCCTACTTCTTTAATTCATCATTTATGTTCTGTGACTGACTGTATCAATTTTGCTATGATTCAGATGTGTACCACTTATTCTGTTTTAGCTAAGGCTGATCCTATTAAGCCGTACTCTCCTGGGATACCTATACCCACCCTATGAAGCAAATTTAGTTCAATGTGAATACCTAGCTTACATTACTATAGCCACAGTCCAGCCAGAAGATAACCTTTCAGCCTTTGTTGCCTGTTATAAACACCATGTTAATGCATTTGATTTCCTTTTGATTGCACTTAAAATGTAGCATCCATACCTTTGCCTGTGCGTATAACTTTTTGCATGGTACAACAAAAAATAGAAATTAAAAAAGCAACCTCTCCAGATCTTGTTTTTGGTTAATGGTTAACTTTAATATAACTTTTGTTTTTGATGAGGTCAAGTAGTATATATAGAATATCCATGCAACAAAATGTTTTGAAAATATGCATTGTCTGGCGTACAATACAGAATTGTAGACTGGATATGTGATTAGCTTAAAAGAGAGGAGTGTTGTATGTTAAAAAATGCTAAAGGCATATTAAAGGAACACTAAAGCATTAGGAATACAAACCTGTCCCTAAGTATGTTCAGGTTACCCACCATGTTGAGTAAAAATGTAAGAAATGTAAAGGTTTACTTACCTTTTTTCCTGCGCACAGGCTCCCTCAGGAACTGCTTTCTTCTCCTCCAGAGACATTACAGGGAAGGCATGGTCTCTTCCGGAGTGGTTAATTCCAAAGTGCCTTATAGGATATAGATATGCAGCAGATAAATATGGAGCATAAAAGACTTGATATATATGCTCTGTGAGTGCTGCAAGACCATCCACATTTTCCCATAGGAAAGCATTAAATCAAGTTGCGGAAGCACCTCTAATGGCTGTCAGTATGACAGCTACCAAAATGATTTAACCCTGCAATTTAAACAGTTGTTTTACATTGAAGGGTTAAAATGACAGGGTCACTGCACCAAGGCTACTGTATTGAGATGAAGTGGCCTTGGTGACTTTACTGATCCTTTCCTCAATGGCTCTAATTGCACTTTATACCTCCTCAACCCCTACATCATCTCATAATAAACTCTAGTAATACACTCCTCTCATTACACACTATGCTTTGTCAATAACTACATCCTCTCATGACTCACTATGACTCCTCAATGACTACATCCTCTTATTGCACATTATGCTTCTTCAATCACTACATCCACCTCAACTACTACATCCTTTCATTGCACACTATATTCTCTCGACCACTACATTTTTTCATTACACACTATAACTTAATACACCTCAATCATGAATTCCTTTCATTACACACTATACTTCCTTGACCACTATATCTCCCTTTAATATACTATCAGGGTTATTAACTATACCATTTTTTTATCTGACCGGACAACATTTGGTAAAAATTGCATGATTGTGCAGCTGAAAAATCTGTCAACATGAACCCTGATCACCAAGGAATACTTCTAACATGAAGAATACAAGCTGTTTTAAAGGCAAAGTGGCCAATGAGTACAACACATATTACACTGTGTCTTGATTTATTTAACAAAAATACAGCTAAAATGGAGAAGCCATGTGTGAAAAAAAAACAGTACATATACCCCTACTTTTTCTAAAGGAATTAAGAGGCAAAGTAGTAGACAGGTGCTACTAAGCAAATGCCCTTGATGAATTGATCATTATCAAGTGTGTCCACCTATATAAAAGCTGAAGTTTACGTTTGCTGATCTGGAGTATACAGGTGTGTGTAAACACAATGCAAAGGAGGCAGACACCGGTAATGGTCTTAGAGAAGCAATTGTTGCTGCATATCAAACTGGAAAGGTTTGTAAGGCCATGTCTAAAATATTTAAAGTCAATCATTCCACAGTTAGAAGGAATATTCAAAAGTGGAAAACATTGAAGACAGTTGCCAATCTTCTCAGGAGTGACCATAACAGCAAATGCAATGCTCAGAAAAATTGCAAGTAACCCAAGAGTTAAATCTCAGAGTCTTTAGTCCACAGTTAGCATGTTGAATTTTAAATTCATGACTGTACAATTAGAAAAACACTGAACAAGTATGGTTTGTTTGGAACGCTTATCGGGAGAAAGCCTCTTATCTCTAAAAAGAACATGGCAACACAGTTTAGGTTTGCAAAGTTACATCTGAACAAACCACAAGGCTTCTGGAACAATGTATTTCGGACAGACAAGACCAAAGTTGAGATGCTTGGCCCTAATGCACAGCACCACATTTGCTGAAAACCAAACACAACATACCAGCATGAACACCTCATACCAACTGTCAAGCACGTGGTGAAGGGGTGATGATTTGGGCTTGATTTGCAGCTGCAGAACCTGGGAACCTTGCAATCATTGAGTTGACCATAAACTCCTCTGTATACTTAAGTATACTTAAGCTTGGCCGAAGTTGGGTCATGCAACAGGACAATGATTCAAAGCACGCCAGCAAATCTATTAAAGAATGCAAGAAAAATAAAAAAATAAAGGTATTGCAATGGCCCAGTCAAAGTACAGACCTCAACCTGATTGAAATTCTGTGATGGAACCTTAAGAGAGCTGTGCATAAACAAATGCCAGCAAACCTCAATGGAGCAAGCAACGTTGTAAAGAAGAGTCGGACAAACTTCCTCCACAACGATTTGAGAGACTGGTAAAGTCATAGAGAAAAGTATTACTTCAAGTTATTGCTGCTAAAGATTGTACTACAAGCTATTGAATCATAAAGTGTACTTAGTTTGTTACTCACGGCTTTTTTTGGTAAATATATGTTTTTTGTTGTTCATCTGAAGTTGTATTTACTTGATTTTAAGGCCTGCTAAGGAACAGATGATTGTTATCATGTCCTGGAATGTAAAACCATGGAATTCAAAGAGGGTGTTTTTTCTTTTTCCCATGGCTGTTGAAATGGAAAAATCAATCAAGGTATTGATTATTTCTTTGTGTATCTGCCCCTGGCCAAATCAATGAAACAATGCGTGCACGCTCCCTGAAGTAATTCACACCAGACACAGGTTCCAGGTTGTTGAATAACTTGAGGAATGTTTATTCAGAGGGGACGGCAGGTCCCTTTTAAAGCAAAATTACATCATAAGCATTGTCAGAGATAACATGGAGTAATACATCAATTATTGGTTAGGTGTTAAGTGGTCGCTCTAATGCTCTGCCTACTGAGGGTGATGTCACCAGGGCCATGAGGGTCTCCCACGGTTTCCAGGCGCCATCTTGCTGCACGAGGTAGTTAGTCGGTGTTAAAGGGGCAGGGGGAGGAAGGGGTTAGAAGCTTCTAGCAGCCATCTTGATTAAAACATGTGTGCATAGCTTATATTGTATATAGTGAAATGAGTAAATAGACATTTTCACTAACTAGGAAATATGTGCAGACCTTATTTCCAGAACAGTCCCCCCTAAAATGGCTATTTACCATGACAACTTGCTATTGTCCCTAGTGTATCCCTAGCTGCCTGCAGCTCATCTGTCTTCACAAGCATCGAACTCTTCACTCCGTGGGTAACCCGCAGTAGCTAGTCTACCACATCTCCGCACGTGAGACTTGCCCGTAAAGACAGACGCTTTCCCTACACTGTCCCTACAGAAATGCAGTTGTCTGTTTAAACTGATGTGACTGAAGGGGTGTATGTGGAATGTCATCTTCGAGGTCTGTGATGTCTTGGTGTAGGAAAGTAGGGGTCACGTCATCTATAGTCTTCCCTACTGCTTTCTGTAAGTACTTATGTATGCAAGGGAGCACACAACAAGTTAGGAATAAGAAGATGATAATCATTATAAGAACAGCCGTTCCTACCTGGAAGAGAGTCCTTTGCCAACCATTCATCCACCCAAACCATCTGTCCCAAGTGTCAGTGACTCCCAAATTCTTCTTTAGCTCATCAGAAAGACTATCTAGCTTCTCTATGGCCATGGTTACCTTACCATTGGGCCCAGTGTTGTCTGGAATGAATGTGAAACATGTCATGGTTTCAGGGAGGATCTTACATACTTCTCAGCTAGAATCATATCTAGGGCCATTCTGTTCTGAAATGTCATTTGGGTAGTGGCTTGTAATTGCTCTGCCAGGCCCTGTAGGGCATCCCTTGTGTAATTAACAAAGCGCTGCTGATTATAATAGATGTAATTAATCCAATTGACATTCTTATTAGCAGTTATCATTGGAATCAAGGATTCAAATCCTGCTGCCACTTCATCCCTTGCTTTGAATTTGTTAGGCACCCCCCTTGGCACACCAATGGCATCAATATACACATGGGGGTCGAAGCTCCCTCGGATGGGAGCCTCTCGTTTGGTTCTAGAATGTACGTGTGTAAGATTTAGTGTGTTATGACTACTATCTGGAATAATGTGGATAGGCATTATAACTTTGGTTAGGGCACACTCCCCCTACCATTGCCCAGTTAGTTGGGGCCTTAATTGTCTGTCACCACATAACCAATAAATATCACCGATTGTCTTTGTATGATTCATTAACAGTGATACAGGTGGACTATGGTAAGTTGAGCAATATCCTGATGGGAATTTTCCCAGATATACACCAGTGTTCTTAGGTATTGAATAGCATGTGTAATTACCTGGATAGACTGTGACTCCATCAGGTGGCTTGACATATCCATGAGTGATTGGATAAACTCTCTTCCATGATTCACATGTTGAGGAATTTGTGGTAGACTGTGCATAGAGACTTAAAACACATAGTTCTACTTCAGGAGGTAAACTTAGAGGTACTGTGCCCAGATGCGGCCTGGCTCCTCCACATACATAACAATTAGTCTTATTGTGTGAGTTGGCATTATACCTCATCCATTCTAACCACAAATTAGTGTCTGAAAACCCAGTCTCCACTACCATAGTGTCTTCAAAGGTGGGGTTGGCTATAGCTACCATGTCATGTAGAGTCTTAATATGTGGTTTTAACGGGTTAATAGTCATGTGAGTGGTTCCTACCCAGTCTGGTGAGGTGAGCATGTCTTGTAGATAAAATGTCCCCAGTGTATTATGTGAGCCACCTCGCTTCCAGTACATTCCCATTACATATTCCCCTGCATCCTTTGGGCTGGGGTGCTCTATATTCAAGGTAAGTTTAATGGGTTTACTCAGGGTCATTCTAGAGAGTAGAGGTTTCCTGTCTTTGTCAAGTCTGTCCAATGCAATCTGGGGTCTGTAGCCCCATGGTCTACCCGTGTTCCACCCGGCAGCTTTCCATGAACTACAATGATGTCCCCAAACTCCTCCAGTCACACAAATGTATGGATCCTTTTTGTTAGGTATGTCTTTGTATATGGCTGCATATTGTGTTTGTGGAAAGGTGCAAACAACTATGTTACAGTAATCAAAGGTGTATGTAGCTACATCTGTGTTAGAAGAGTTGTACCAGAAAGTATAAACATGATTATCTTTGGTTATGGCCACTTGTTGGACCCAGGCAAAATGTAGCAACATAAGAAAACACAAGACACATAACAAATTCATTATTCAGCAGGAGTAGCCTCTTCTGGAGCAGGCACTTTCTTGCAATGCGAGGCGTGTATCCAAGAACATTTTCCAGCTAGCTTAACTGACGTTGCTGTCATCAGGAGCACTTGATAAGGGCCATCAAATCTCGGCTCTAGGGTGTGTTTCCTGAGAAACTTCTTGACCATAACCCAATCACCGGGGAGCAGCTTGTGTGTACCTGTATTCGACTCAGGATCTGGAATAGAAGAAAACACTTGGGCATGTATTTTGGTCAAGGCATGTGAGAGGGCAGTCACATAGTCTACCATAGCATCTAACTGGATCTGAAGTTGTTGGGGAAAGTAATAACCTAGCCTAGGTGCTGTACCAAACAAAATCTCATAAGGTGATAGGCTATATTTCCCTCTAGGAGTGTACCTCACACTAAACAATGCTAATGGGAAACTCTCGGGCCAGGGCATGTTAGTTTCTTGTGACATTTTGAGCATTCTGGCTTTCAGAGTGCCATTCATGCGCTCTACCTTACCACTACTCTGTGGGTGATATGGTGTGTGAAATGCAAGGGTCACCCCCAGTGCTGACCAGACTTCCCGTGTTAACGAGGCAGTGAAGGAGGTCCCTTGGTCACTTTCAATCACTTCTGGAACTCCATATCGGCAAACAATTTCCGTCAAAAGGTACTTGGCTGTAGTCCTTGCGGTGAGATTAGTCACTGGGAAGGCCTCTGGCCATCCTGAAAACATGTCCACTATGACTAGTGCATATTCATAACGTCCACTCTTTGGCATTTGAATATGGTCAATTTGGATCCTCTGAAAGGGGTATTGTGGATTAGCTAGGTGATTAGGTGCGGTCTTGATAATCTTTCCAGGATTGCACTTAGCACATATAGTACAAGACTTACAGTAATTCTGGGTTAAGGTGGTGATG